CCAAGCAGAAGTGTGTGCAGGAGTCCTGTGATCCACTGTAGCTAAATTTGGAGGACGTACTTCTGAAGTCACAGCGGTGGACCCCTACCTCAGTTCACTGGGTGTTTTTATGGCTGGAAAAGGCTACGACCCTCTCTTAACATTGGCCCCCAAGGGAGGCCGTCACATCCGCTCAGGACGCCTCCTCAGCCCCAGAGGCTGCTGGACCTTCCTAGAAACCCCTGGAGTGACACGGAGGCCCTTCCCTCCTGGCGGGGAGTTCCCTAACCCTGCCCATCTCTTGGAGTCTGCAGGTCATCCCACTGGCTGAGGACCTTCCTGTGCACTTGTTTTGACTCTTGTTCACCCCAACAGCCTGGCTCCCGTCACACTGGCTCTGAGTCCTTGACACCCCACACTCCCTCTGCTCAGGACCTTTGCACATGCCGCCGTGTGGCCTGGAAAGCTCTCCCCTGCCCAAGCTCTCCTCTTGCATCCCTCGGTGCTCAGCAGAAGCACCAGGACCTCATCCTCGGGAAGCCCTCCCGCCGCACGTCTGGGTCAGGCTCTCTCAGAACCGGCCTCCTTCCTTCACGCAGAGCCCCCTGCCCCCCGCCAGCCCCTGGGAGCCACATCTGCAGTGTGACAACTCACTCCCGCTCTGAGCTCCATCTGACGATCACTGTGCTTTTTGCTGACTGTTGTGTCCATAAATCAACACGAATGGATGGATGTTGGTGCCCCGGGAGCTGTGCGTGTGCAGCTGCCTTCACCACAGGGCAAGGGGTTCCACCAGGGGCAGAATCGGGGGGCAGCCCTGGGGCAGGGGAGGCCACGGGGGTTCCAGCAATAACTCAGTGGGCCCTCAGGGGACGTGTCGGCAGGGACACCAGGATGACAGACAGAGACTAACATTTACGCAGCGCGAAGGAAAATGCATCTCAATGACAGATGGCCAGCCAGGTGCGCCCCTGCCCTTTATCTGGATGGGCAGCGCCCCAGCCCGAGGACGGCCAGCCCAGACTGCCGATCAGCCTCAGCTCTGCTTTCCCGATTTCCCGGCGAGGGGTGAGGGAGGGGAGGCCCCCTGGAAGACGGAATCCTGCACGTAGTTGATTTCCTGGTGCTCAGGCCTTCCCACCGTGTCCTGCTGGACGCTTTCCTGGGCGTTGGTCTCTCACGTGTGCTCCTCGAATAGCCATCGACGGTGCTGTTGCCGCTCTAAATGCTGGGCCTTTTCAGCGTCGAGTCACATTTCAGGAGCACGGCAGACGCGGGCGGGTATCCATTCTTCTCTGGACGGCTTCTCGGGATGAACAGGGCTTGGAACTGGAATCCGTCCTGTCCGAAGGGACAGGCGGGCGCTGGGGGCCAGGCCTGGGCTGGGGAGGGGGAGCCAGCCCCCAGTTGTGCGAGAGGGTCAGAATGCCAAGTGCTGGCTGACCCCACGCACCCCGCAGGGCTCCCCTCCCCACCCCTTGGGCCGGCCCCTCTTGGTGACCCCGTACAAGCCTGTGTGATTCCACCATCTGTGCTGCCATTTCCCAGTCACCTCCCACCCGGAGCCTCCGCTCTGCGTTCCCAGGTAGATCCCCAGAGCCAGGCACCAGGGGGCCCATCAATGTTTGTGGGATGAACAACCTCGTGTGACCTTGGCCCAGTGCTCTGCTCCCTGTCTCCTCAGGTGGGTAACATGGGTACTGGCCGGAGCGCAAGACAAGCTGTGTTCATCCAGCCTCTACACTGCGCTGGCCCCGTCCATCCTTTGCGGCTGCTCCCAGAGGCCTGTGCTCAGAGAGGCCACTGCTGGTCGGGTCACACACCTGGCGTCCCAGCCCCATCCCGAAGGGGCCTGCCGGTGTGGGCATGGCTGCAGCGCACACCTGCGCCCGGAGCTCACGCTTGCCCTCCTCCTCGGCAGGCCTCCCGGGACCCCGCCCTCGGGCAGGTGTGCTGAGTCCTGCCCCCAGGGCCCAGCCGGCCCCCCCCCCCCCCCCCCCCCCCCGCCCCGCCCGCCCAGGGGGCCCGCCCCCCCCCCCGGCGAGGGGGCGGGGGGGCGGGGGCTGTGCTGTGTGTGTTTAAACAACTGGACCTGATTTCTCTCGGGAGTCCTCCCATCTCTTGTCACGTTTGTTTAAAACTAGTGGAAGTAGTTAGCAAGCCGCAGAGACGCACAGCGGGGCTGGGCGGTGGGTGACGAGCGCCCGGCAGGCCCCACATCCCGGCCTCGGAGGGAAGGAGGTTCTGTCTCCCTCCAAGCAGATCTCCTCTGGTGGAGCCTGAAGGAGGTTGTGAGCCCGGGGCCTGCACATCCAAGCAGGCATTTTCTCCCCACGAAGTGTGGAAGACCTTCTCGGACCCTCATGCTGGGACCACAGCACCCGGCCTGGCCCGCACAGGAGCTTGTGAGCATGCGACGGCGTGGCAGCACCCTTGCCCCTAAAAGAGGACGACATTTAACCTGCAGAGATAGAGGCAGACTCCAGAAATAAAAAGGAAACAAGAGGAGGACAGTGGGTTGCAGAGGAAACAAAGATAGAAAATTGGGCAGAAAGTGCTAAGGTTGGTAAATGCCTCAGCACTGCTAGGTCCCAGCTACCACGTTGCCTCTGAGCTTCCTGGTGGCCAAAGCGAAGAGGGAAACTGCCTTGGGGCAATTCACCAGAAAAAGGCAAATGGGCTTCTGGGTGACAGGAACCGTTCCTGCCCCAAGACCTCAGACGCGTCTCTGGAGAGTCTGCCCCTCAAGTGCTCGCTTCCCTTTTTTTTTTTTTTAACATCTTTATTGGAGTATAATTGCTTTTCAATGGTGTGTTTCTTTTGTACAACAAAGTGAATCAGCTGTATGTATACATATATCCCCATATCTTCTCCCTCTTGCGTCACTTCCCATTTTTATGGCAAGACATCGTGTTTGTAACCTGAGCAGTGTTTGCACATTGAGAAATTTAAACCCACGTTCCTCAGGGTTTCAAACGGGAGTTCACTTATTCAGAGCTAAAGTGCCATGAACGCCCCTGGTGTCTCAGAAGAACAAACCTTCCTGATCTTTCCCTCTGAAAGAGAGACACAGCCCAGGCGCGCACAGGAAGGCACTGTTCTGAATTCCCTTCCTTCTGGAAAGCTGGCACCCCAGCACCGCGGGCACTCGGAACGGCCCCCATCTCCCCACAGGCACCTTCCAGCTCCTGCTTCCTCACTGACGAGGGCTCGGAGTCTCAGACGTGATGGTGAAACCAACCTGTTGGGTTGAGCCGATCAGCCAAGCCTCAGTCACACTGAAGCTGGAGGCTGGGTTCCACGTTGTCCCAAAGCCCCCATGCCTCCTCGCGTGGAGGGCCCGAGTCAGACCCAGGCTTGAAAGATGTTAAGAGCAGCTGCGAGGAGAGGCCCAACTTTATCATCATAGGTCACGTCTGGTGGTGCCACCTTTAATGTCCTGAGGGCTCCCGTCCACTGAGGACATCTGTCCCCTGCAAGGTCCCAGGCTCCTGTGGACGGTACTCCGACCTTCCTGTTGGGGCAGCTCCTACGAGGGTGATTTTTTTCTCTGACAGCAATGTCCACATTTCCCTCAAATGCCACCAAAGCTATGCGCCTATTTTTTAAAAAAATACAACTACACCATCACTTAATCCTGAAGAAACTCAAACCCTCCCACTACTGTCCAATCCCATTCATGTTGTTAGAAATTTTCTTTCAGAGCACAAAGGACTTATTCATGTACTTTGTGCTAATCTCCCGGCAATCATAGAACTGTCATTTTTATCTTTGTCAGTGACAGTTGGGCATCAGAAATAATTGATCCACTCCGTTTTTTGCTGATTTTAATTTGTTTACCGACAGGGAGGACAGGACTACAAAGGCAGTTTGGAATTTTCCTGTCACTTGAAAAAGAATGTGATTATCCCCCCACTAGGGGGGCATTTCCCTGGAGCCACAGCCCACTCCTCACCTTGGTTGCCCTCGTCCACCCGAGGACCCCTGTCTGTGAGCTCTGGAGTCTGTACACACACGGAAATGTCTGGTTTCCTCACATTTAAAAACATTTTTATATTAAACCCACACGTGGGGATTGCTGGGGACTGGGGAGAGTCTGAAGTAAAGGAGCTGAAACAAGGGAACGTTCTGTTATTTATTATTTCAAGGCAGCCAACAATAAAAGGTGAACGCAGGGGCAAACACTTATCAAACCTAACAGTGAGGAGCTCTTTTTAGTTTCTCGAATAAATAGTAATTAAATCACGTAAGCTGTAATTTCATGACAGTGAAATTGCTTAAAAAAACCAATCGTCCCACCGTGATTGCTGAGATACCCACACTTCTATAAACACCAGGTAACTTTATCCGTCGTTTGTATCAACAGAATGTGACACTGGCTGTTGGCGCCTCATAATTCACCACATTAGGTGGCAGCTGCAAGAGCACACATGTGAAAAAGGCACTAATATGATGCCGGTGAATGCGCGGCTTCCGAGATGTCTTTTCCTGCAGGGGGTTTACAAACAGTCCAGGTGATGGAGTCAGTGGGAGAGGCTGACAATTCACTGCCTAATTACTGTTTGGGAAGCACAGCAAAGTACCTGCCCTGCAGTGGCAGTAGACCATCCGCCTTCCACGCCTGCTTCCAAGTCACCGAGAAAGCTCTCGGCTGCCCCAAGGTGACCAGGGAATTGGTTGAGGGTAAAGAAACTCCTCCCCCCGCATGGCTCAGACTCAGGTGGAACCCAAAGTTGATAGTGACCGGGAGACGCGTTTGCAGAAATGAGAGCAGCTGTGTTTCAGAGAGAATGAACATGCATTCATTGCTTTGGGTCGATGTTCCTTTTTCTAAGGCCTCAGCTAATTCCCTACGGGGTAGAGATAAAACCCAGTACCTGAAGGTCGAAAAGTCAATTAAATCACCACTTTCTCGAAGCTCATTAGAGACCAAGGACCCGCTGCTGGAAATAAGCTGTGAGTGGGCGCCTGCCCGCCAGGCTGGTCCCCAGCGCCCTGACCTTCTCCCCCTCCTCTTGCAGTCAAGTTCAGCAGCTGCCTGGGGACCAAGGGGACACACTATGAGACCGACAGCATGGACTTCAAAGTCGGGGCTGACGGGACGGTCTTCGCCACCCGGGAGCTGCAGATCCCCTCCGAGCAGGTGGCCTTCACCGTGACCGCGTGGGACCGCCAGACGGCCGAGCGCTGGGACGCCGTGGTACGGCTGCTGGTGGCCCAGACCTCACCCACGCGCTCCGGACACAAGGTAAGGTGTGACTACATGCGGGGCGGCGGGGAGGCTGGGTAGGGGTCCTTCCTCCTTCAGGTCACCGAGCAGAACCTCTGCAGAGGCTGACACTTGAGTGGGCGGCGTGGGCTGGGAGGGGGACCCCTGACCTCCCACCTTCCAGACAGGGCTGCCCACAGGCTCCACCCCCACTGAGTGTAGTGCACAGCTGTCAGCACCCTTTTTCGGACAAGGGCCCCACAGCTCCGCTTCTCACCGGGCGCCTCTCCTGCCTGAGGCTTGTAGCCCACCAGCCCCGGAGGCTCCCAAGACCCAGAGGGACAAGAAGTAAGACAGAGGCCATGTGGCTGGCCTTGCGAGGTGGCCAGAGTAGCTGGCGTGAGACTGATTCAGAGAGAGGGAAATGGGGAGGGGGGGGAGGGGGAGGGAGAGGGAGGGGGAGGGATGGCACCCTTCACGTAGACACACACCAGCCACTGTCACCGGCCTCTGCAGCCCTCCCTCCAGCTTCACCTCTGACTCGGTTGCGTGGCCCTGTTGACCGGACAGGAGGGGTGAATTCACTTCCCCTGGTCCTGAAAGGCCTCTCAGCCCCACACCACAGGCCCCAGAAATCCAGGACCAGACCCCTCAGCCCCCAGAAATCCCCACATTAGGTTACCCGTGTCTGAGGGGGACCAGGTCTGCTTACCTCTGCCCGTCCCGTGTTTCGGCAGCTGCGTTGGCCTCCGCGTGAGGGCTCCCCGGTCAGCAGAGAAGTTGCTGCCCAGCTGACCTGCATGACGGGTCCAGCTACACATGTCCACCTACATGAAGGGTGGACCCATGGGGAGGGAGACGCCCTTACAGTCAACAGGAGGCCTCAGGGTCATCAGTGTTATGATGTGTGTGGGTTCACCAGCAAAAGAAACACACTGGTTAAAGCAGGACAGGCCATCGGGGACAGCATTTGTGGGTATTCCCTCGGAAAAGGGTTCGAGGGAAGTAGAGGGTTAGACCAAGTTGACCAGATCCCTTTCTGCAAATTTGCCCAGAACCTCACAGGACTAAAGGGCTCAGTGAACCTCAGTGGGAGACAGTCTGCAAGTTTCCCCAAACCTATTTGACCAAGGAACCTTCTAAATGGGACATCTTACAAGGCAGGTGTTCCGAGGAACCCACTTTGGTAAACAGGGGCTGTGTTTCATGTGTCTTGTTAAACAACATAGAGGTGGTTTTGGTGAGAAAAGGGAAAGTGGTGACTCGGTGGATAGCCTTATCTTGGTGGTGAGCTGACCCCGTCGGGAAGGACGTCCTGAGTGCCCTCGTGGGTGTGCTGAACCAGGTGTTGAAACACGCTTCTAACGGGCGCCCCCCAGATCGTGAGCCTCACCTTGGGGATGTTGAAAACCCTGAGACAGATGGATGTGGTTTTCCATTCCTTCCCGAATGACCATGACAAATCACACCCTGGTGAGAGGGCAGCGTGGCCCACGCAGGGGCCCCTCCCTGTCGGCAGCCAGGCCAGGGGCAGCAGTGGGAAGGCTTACATCCCTGACTGTGATGCAAAAACTGCGCCTTGTGGGCAAGGAGTAGGGCTCCCTAACGCCCGTGGATGGCCTCAGACAAAAGGTATTAATTAAAAATATAGGGACTTCCCTGACGGTCCAGTGGTTGAGACTTTGCCTTTCAATGCAGGGGGTGTGGGTTTGATCCCTGGTTGGGGAGCTAGGATCCCACGTGCCTCGCGGCCAAGAGACCAAGACATAATACAGAAGCAATATTGTAACAAGTTCAGTAACGACTTTGAGGATGGTCCACGGCAAAACAACTTTAAAAAAGTAAAAAGAAGATAAAAATAACGACACCTTTTGTCAGGCATGGTAATGAAGCAATTTCTGATGCAGTTAATCCCCTAATCCCCCAAAAAGGGTGACTTCAGTTAGTCCTTAGGACACGGGAACCTCCAACCCCACAGCAGGCAGGCCCGAGAAGCACCCCATCTGCAGATTCCACATCCCAGGCCCAGAGCACCCTTGGGGCTGACTTTGTGGGGTTACACCCTGAGCACATGAAACGTGACCCTGTAGGTGGTGAGCAGAGTCTCTGCAGCCCACCTGACCCAGTCCTTCCCTGTTTATTTCATGTCCCCTTCGTTGCTGATGGCTCCCTGCTTCCTCCTTCTTCAAATCCAAAGAGCCCTGCCCTGACTTTCTAGGACCCCACCTAGACCCTGCCCTAAGTGCGTCCATATTGATCCTCACAACATCTCCAGAAGTGGGCGCTGTCACTGTCCCCACTTTACAGGTGGGGAAACAGAATCATGTGACTGCAACCTCTTTGCTGCATGGGAGAACCGATGTTCTGGAAAGGAGTGAAAAAACGACTTTCTAGGGACAGCTGAGCCCGGCATCGTAACGGAGCCTGGCTGCCCTGGATTGTCAGTTTGAATCGAGGCTTCTCCAGCTTACTGGCTGACGTTCTAGGACAAGCATACAACCTCCCTGACGTTTACTGCTCTCGAAAATGGGACAGCTGTGTTACCTACATCCTATCCAAGGGTTGTTGAGAGGATTATGTGAGATTATGTGAGGTCAGGCAGGGTGCAGGCTCTATAAGAGCCCTGTCCCCAAAGAGGCAAAACATAGTTGCTCTTATTGCTGTCGTTGGCATGGTCCCAGCCCTCTGCGTCACGTGCTCATCATGGCCACTGGGCCCTCACCAGGGTGGTGCTGGGGGGACAGGGAGGAGGGTCTGTGTTGGACACCAGGTCACTCAGTTGATGTGCCCTTACAGAGACCAGTGCCAACCTTTGAATAATGTCACTCTGTGTAAATGGGTTAAGGTGATGCCAGATTGCTGGTGTCCTTGGTCACCGGCCAGAAGCAAACGTAACTCTTCTCCAGTGGAAGGTATCATATACCAGACCTCAGATTACATCTCCTTTTATATACAATGTCCAGCACTCAACTGAAAATGACTGGAGGGACAAAACAAGGTAAATAAAAATCAAGAGGAGGAGCAGATGACAATCAAAGACCCACAGGGCTCCAGGTAGTAGAGTTATCAGACACAGACTTTATCATAATTGTGCTCACTGTCTTTGAGCACATTAAATGCAAGATTTTGACAGAGGATTGGAAGATTAAAAAAGAATTAATTGGGCAGTTTAGGACTGAAAAATATAACAAACAAAATTAAGAGCTCAATGGACAGATATATCTGCAGATTAGACACAGTTGAAGAGAAGATTAATGAAGCAAAAAACATCAGAAGAAACATTCAGGCCAAAGTGTAAGGAGATATCCAGAGAGAAAACACAAAGGAAAGAGTAAGAGGTATTGGGAAAATGGTAAGAAGTTCTAACATGAGTATGTTTGGAATATGAGGGGGAGAGATAAAATGGAGCAAAAGTAATATATGAAAAAATATCGGCAGAAAATATTCCAAAACTGGCAACAGACATCCAGGCATAGATTCAAAAAGCCCTGTGAACTCTAAACAGGATAAATATAAAGAAAACTGCACTTAGGCACTTTCTTAGTCCATTCAATAGGCTATAACAAAATACCATGGACTGGGGGGCTTACAAACAATAGAAATTCATTTCTCGCTCTTCTGGAGGCTGGAGGTCTGAATCAGAGTGGCACAGGGTCAAGTTCCCATGAGGGCCCTCTTCCAGATTGCTGCCTTCAGACTTATATCCTCACATGGCAGAGAGCAAAGACAGGAGGCCAGCTCACTCACAACTCCTGTAAGGACACTAATCCTGTTATGGAGACTCCATCCTGATGACCTCCCTTAATCCTAATCGCCCCCGAAAGGCCTCACCTCCTAATATCATGCCATTGGGAGATAGGGTTTCAACAAAAGAATTTTGGGAGGACACAGTCCACAATAGGCATTTTAAGATAAAATAGTTGAAAGCAAAAGTCAAGGAGAAAATCTTGGAAGCAAACAGAAAAGACAGAGTTTCTTTGAAAGAGGAATAATTCGATGTAAAACTGACTTCTCAACAGGAACTATGGAGGTTAGAAGACAATGGAATGATATTTTTTAAAGTGCTAAAGAAAATAGAATTCTATTATTCAGTAAAATGTCCTTCACAGAGCAAAGGTGAATAAAGACATTTTTAAACAAATAAAAACTGAAAGAATCTGTCACAAGTTGTGTTCTTCAGGCAAAAATGAGATGATTTGAAGTAGAAAACCAAGAATGAGAAGATTAAGTAGATGGGAAAATACCAGTGTATAATTACAGGATAATGTTTTGTGGGATGTAAAGAAGATGACTCAAATTCATGACAAGAATGGCCTAGATTTTGAGAAAGGATAAATGGAGTCAAAGGGATCTAGGATGCTTGTGTTGTCCTGGAAGACGATGGAAATATCAAACTAATATTATACTTGGATGAGACACATCATTAAGAGCCATAGTGATGGATACCTTACTTTAAGGTGCATGTGAAACACTGACCACGATTGACCATAGTCTAGGTCCAAAAGTAAATCTTAACTTCAGGAGTTACCTAAAGTCTACATAGTGTCTGAACTAGCACTAAATTGATAAAAATGTATCTATTATAAAGACATATTTATTTCTCTTGGAATTTTCATATAATTCTAACACTACCGTATATGAAGGTCTTATGCTATAGCTGGATAATTTAGTATTAGTAACACAGCACTGGGCAGGGGACAGCTAAATTCTCCCTCCATTCTAGATGTATTTCTTGTTTATTGTCACCTTTTTAGTCTTCATATTTAGGCAGTATTTTTTAAAACACCCTTACATAACATAATTTGTCATTTTCCCCGGTAATCCATGTGAATTTTCAAATAAACATGCTTCTTAAACAATAAAAAATAGTCATAGGATTAAGTTCTAACATAATAGATAGAAAATAGAATAAGAAAACCTATCAATCCAAAAAAATGCAAGGAAAGAAAAGTGAAATGATAGAATAGATGAGATATTTGTCTTTGACTCGGATGGTAGATTTACAAATATATTATTAATTATAGTAATTGAAAATAGAT